ACTTCCCTTAATTTCACTGACCATTTTTATAACCAGTGTTTTGAACTCTGCATCTGTTAGATTGCTTGACTCCATTTTAACTTGATCTCTGTTCTGTTCTCTTGTATGGTTTCTGCTTCTTTGTCTTCTCTGGCTACCTTTTTGTGTCTGTTTCTATGTACTAAGCAAAGCTTCTAAGTCTCCCGGTCTTTTTAGCATGGCTTTATGTAGTAGGTGTCTAGCAGCACAGTCCTGAGAGGGGTTCAGCTGAAGCCCCAGCCTGTGTCCCTCTGGGTCCACCTGTTAAGATTCAGCAAGCAATCCACGGATGCTGTGCTTATAATTGCCTCAAGAAGCCATGCCAGAAACTAAGGTCAGCTGCCACCAGTATGAGTCTTGCAGATGCTCAGCAATTGGGCCAGGACTCGTTGAGGACACAACTGGATGTGGCTTGAGTAGGGCTGCGAATTGGAGGAGGTGGAGTTTCAGGGACTCCTCTGGGTGTAGCGACCTCTGTAATCCAGTTCAGTGATGTCTCAGCTATGGTGGCACTGCATCCACACACTGGGGGCAAGGGGGAATTGCTCAACAGAGGAACAATGGATGTTGCCAGCACATCTTTCCAGGAGAAACCCTTGCCTCTGACCCTCACTCTGATAATTCAGTGTCCCCCTGTGAGTCCCTGGTGCCTCCCTGTGCAACCGACCTGGCTCTGGTGCTCAGAGCGAGCAAGTGCATCACCGTAAGTCTTGTCGCAAACACAGCCCCTTTAAGAAGATTGTCTCCACCTGCCAGCTGCAGCTGCCGTAGCCGCTCAGGATTGGGCAGCCTCGCATCTTTGCCCCCTCTACCTCCAAACATTGCAGTGTGATTCCTTATTTTTCACCCTAGTTGTAAGGCTTCTGTTCATCTAGACACAAGGCAATTCTGCTTGCTGTTTGCTCCATCTTTCTGTCACAACTTTGATGTGGTCACAAGAGGGGATGAAAGAAGCTTCTATCATCTATGCCATTTTGCCCAGTCTCTGCTCTTATTTTTTAGAGGTAATTTTATTTATGCTATATTGAAGTTATATGAAAACTTTATGAATAAATCCCTTTAATAAAATACAACTACCATTAAATTCACTTTTCTCAGTACTTCATGGGGATGGAGTCAGAGTAGGGCAGCATTTGTATATTTCTCGGACACAGATCATAATGCCATTCAACATAATCCTTATATTTCAATAACACACACACACACACACACACACACACACACACACACACACATATCACCTCCAAAATGCTGGGTTTTTACCTTCTGATTCATTGAAATTTACATTAAATTTATTTAAAATCATCCTATTGCCAAAAACTTCTCAGCACATTTGTGCATTTTCAGATGACTTACTTTTTTTTATATTAAAATTTTATCTTAAACATTTGGGATCATAATTACTGATCTTTTTTTTCTTTTAAATACACTTTTGTTTAGAGCAGTTTTAGGTTCACAGCAATTGAGTGGAAGGCACAGAGATTTCTCATACACCTTCTGTCTCCACCATGCATAGCCTCCCCAATTATCAACACCCCCTACCAGAATGGTACATTTGTACAACTGATGATCCTGTATTGACACATTACCATCCAAAGCCCATAGTTTACATCAAGGTTCACTTTTGGTGTTGTACATTCTGTGGGTTTGGACAAGTATATAATTACATGTATCTACTGATATGGTACTGAAGAAGAACCCTATATTACGGGCTTCACAGTGTTCCTAGCCTCACTTCCTCTTACCCTAGTGCTTGTAACCACACAAAAACTTCGCTTTAATATAGTTTTTCTTTCCTCTGATTCAAGCTGGTTTTGCCCAGATAATGGCATTGTGACTCATTCCCCCCCCACCCCCGCCCCCGACTCAAAATCTTTATTCTCTGTATGTCGGCTCCTTTAATCATTGAGCCTTAGGACATAAGATTAACAAAGCAATAGGTTTGGGTTGGACTTTAGAGTAAGGATAACATCTTGACTTAAGATGTATTTCAGCCCCAGACCCATTGAGGCAAAACTACAATCCACCAGCCAAGGAACCAGGTCAAGGGACCAGACAGGATGGCGCTATGGCTGATTCCAGAACTGGACACACTAATCAATTACCTCATCCCCTTTTAATAGTCCAATTAGTAGCGTCCATGACACCAACTCCCTTAATTTTCATGGTGGCTGATTTTTTCCTATATAATCTGTGCTTCCAGATTAGAGGTAATTTTATTTATGCTATATTGAAGTTATTTGATTTTTTCCTATATAATCTGTGCTTCCAAGCTACTTGGGGGCCAGGCTTCTGAGTGCTATCTTGCTTCTGTCTCCAGGAAGCAAGCCCAACTCTTGTATTGGTTTTCGGCTGGGGCAAGCAGCATAAGCTCTGGACACATTCGTCCTCTGGTTTCAGTATCATAAAGAATAGATTCACTGCCCTAAGAATTTTCTGTGCTCTGTTACCCATGTTTTCATGATCAGATTCCCTGCATTTACTAATTCTTAGTCTGTATTTTTCATTATTCTCTTACTTTTACCTCACAGGTAGCTTTTTCTCCTTTGATCTTCCCCACCTCCTCTCTAAAGTAAACATATATAAAGATCTATCGCATATAATGTACTTGACTAAAGATTTATGGGTGATAAGGAGGGAACATATTTCTTATTAGGGTAAAAACCCAAAGTCGAATATTGCAACTTCTTGCCATAAGAGTTGTCTTAGCAACCTCTTCACCAATGATCACTCTACCTTATCTATTCGCTCAGCCTGACCCAATCTCAGCCTCTTATTCTAGAGAGGAAAAAATCCTCCAATTAATGTATGAAAAGAAATTTATCCATAGCTCTATGTTTGAATCTCCTGAATTATAAAAGGGCTCAGAACAACAAATAATATAATATGATCATATAATATGATCCTTTCTTTAAAAAATTAATTAATGGTGGCTATAACTAGCAATGTTTTCTTATTATTTGTATACTATGTGTAAGGCACTGCCTATGTATCAATATTATTTAAGTTCTGTAAATAACTCTGCAAGGAAAGTATTATCACTCTCATGTTATGAAGGAGAAAAATAAGGCTTAGAAATGTTAGATATTTTACCCAGTGTTATAAAGTTTAAAATACTAGCTATAAAGTGCTGAGTCCTAGATTTGGATTTATGTTTCTTTATATTGAACTCTGCTGTATCAACTATTGTGTTAAATTGTGTTTTTTTCCCCCAATTACATTTTAAGCTTACTGATGCAGATGGCATGGACTGAGAAAGCCACATACATTTTATAGCTCTTCCATGATGTCATCCTAGATGTTATGTATAAACTCAGTTGTTGCAGAATGGAAAGACTGAGGCAACGTTACTAAAACAATTTCAAAAGGCAAAATAACTTCAAGTCAGATCACGTACACTCAGGAATGAGGTAGACACACTCAAGAGAACTAAAGAATCCCCTCTGTTGATTAATTTTCTCTGCAAGGGTTTTCACTAGGAGACAGTGAATCTAGAGGAATGTGGGCACCAGGCCTGACTGGCCCAAGGTCTGGCTGGTCCACGGTCTGGCTGTAATCTGGCCTACAGCTAGGAATAGGACCCCAGACTTAGAAAATAGGTAAACATACTTCAGCTTACTGTATCGCAATGTGTGGCTGAATGCCACTTTTTTACACTGCTATGTGAGGAGCCATGCGGTCTCCTGGAGAGAGAAGGAGAGAAGAAGGGGAGAGCAGAAAGGGGAGCAGAAGTGCGCTCAAGACTGCATGCCCCATGCCATACAATGCACTTCCCCATAGAACTGCACTTCCCAACAGAAGTGCTCTCCGCACAGTAAAGTTGGTGCCTGCCATTTCATCCTCATGTCTGTGTCTTGTGCATTCTTCCAACTGGGCCTTACACCACCTAAGCCTTCCTTTCTTGCTCAGCAATACCCCTGACCCTGACAATAGAAAGAGCCAACCCAAACTGCTTGGCCCTGCCAATTGGTGTAGTTGACAGGACCGAGCTGCTCGGCCTGGGCTCTGACAAGGAGGATGTAGCACCCATAGCCAACACTCTGTTATCTCAACCATGTTGTCTTTTGTGGGATTTCATTCTCATAGGCTCATGCTTTCCTTAGTCAGGAGTGGTGAGGGACAGGGGACTGGGAATATTGGGCTATTTTGCTGCTCCCCAGAGCACACAAGGACACACAGGAATTTACAGGGATTCAGTGAGTCTGACTTAGGCTTATCTGCTTAGAAACATTCTGCAGCCATATTTACTCTACTTTCCCTGACATACCACGGTGGTGCAGGAAAATCTGTATGGTTATCTAGCAAGGATTCACATAAGAGGTTAGGAAAACTATACCTGTGTCCTATAAACCCTAAATATGCCTGTAGTTTCTAATTCCATACCTTTTCCCATTGTTACTAACTCTAAGTAGGGACAAAATATTGGGTCCTTCTCAGATACCCACTTTACTATCCTATTCTAATGCTCTCCAAAATGACTTCCATTTTTTTTTTTTCCTGCATAGCGAATTCTTATCTCCTCAAGGATAAGAAAGGGAGAAGAAAGCTTTTGCTATCATTTATTCTTTAAATATTCAAAGTTTTGGGAACAAATTTTGACTTCTGGTACTTCTGAGATTCAAAATTTCTTTCCACTAACTTATTTCTCTGTCACAATTTTTAAGAGCCATATTAAAATAAATACAGATTTATTTCTTGGTTTTTGTATTTCTCCTATAAAAAATATACATCAAGCACAGAGGGTGCATATTACTTTCATTGATATCTGAATTGAGGGTGGGTGGCAGCGGCCAAAGTTGGGAATACAAGGAAGAGAGAAATATTAACCTCAGCTAAGGTATCAAAATGTAGTCAGATTATGCTTATTTTCTCTTGTGTTTCTAGGCATGAAACATGACCTTAGAAATGAGATTAAATGGGCCTGAAGCATAAAGGGCCTTGGCCCTAGTCAATTCTGAGATAAAAGACAGGAAAATCTTCAGTAAAGATCTCATAAAGGGGATTTATTGCTTCCATGGAGATATTAGCTCAGAGTCACCGAGGAATCAGATGTGATACCCTGAGAATCCCATAATAGGTAACAATTGAGAAAGTAACAAAAAATTCAGGAGGTTGAGGGAGAATTCTGAGGGGTATGTGAGATCTGAGGGGGATGTAGCACTTTTAGCACCAGAGATCGTTCTGGGTGCAGAGGAGGAGTGTTAGGAGGAAAGAAGGAATATGATGAACTTGGCCAGAAAATAGTGCTGGTCATCTAGCATATCCACTTTTCTGCTCTTGTAGATGGGCAATGTACCTGCAATAGGACAGACATGGAATCAGTGGGTCCCAGGGGCCTTCTGTGCCATCATTATGACATTTCCCAATTCTACAACTTTTCAATCACATTTGTTTTCACAACCTCCTCCCACTTTCCTTCCTCCTGCTTTTTAAATCTGAATCCTTACCTTCTTTTCATAATGGCCCTTGGGATCTGGAGGTACCACCTGAGCGCAGGCCTTGGACAATAAAGACAGTGCCCATCACGATGCCCACGAGGCCCATGGTCAATCCCAGGGCACAGATCACAGTCTCTGTCAGCTCTGACACAGGAGTTGGGATCTCAGGCTCTGTGAAAGTGAAGTTGTGGAGGTCGGAATACAGACTGTCCTTGAGCATGTACATAGGATACAACAGGGAGAGGTAAATTCTACAAAGACTTAGGGTATGGAGCTTAGAGAGGACTGTGAAGTCTATCATTAGAAACTTTTGAAATGTTAAGTTTAGGGCCATGAGATTTAGGGGATAATAGGCAGGATATTCTGACTCGACAAAGAAAAGCAGACACCAAAAGTGAGGGGAACTCATACATACCCCAGTGTTTCAGAAGTGGCTTGTCCAGGCCCCAGTGCTCCACCTTGCAGTCATAAATATTGTCAGCAGAAGGGAGAAAAGTGAGGTAACTGATCTTAAAGAAGGAATGATCATTCTTGGAGAGGAAGCTGGTCTCAGAAACACCTTCTGTGACTGAGTGCCCATTGTTCAACCATGTGATGTTGATCACAGGAGGGAAGATGTTATCCACAAGACAGATGAGTATGTTGGGGTGACTCAACATCACAGGAGACTTGGGAAACACAGTCACCTCAGGAATTTCTATAGTGAAGAAATAACAGATATGAATTGCAAACAGCTCTGTCCTGAAGTTCTGCATTGCATCCCGGAGGAGCCCTCCCACCAACATTCCCCCACCTGATAGTGGAAGAGCTCTTGTTTCCCTTCTGTTCGTTAGCCACTGTACATTACCTGTGCTTTATCCCTGTCCCCTGTTCTCTGCGGACCTGCTTCTTAAAGCACGACATTTATGGAGCTGTCCTTGAAGGACACAAGGGTTGAAATATGGGAGTAAGAATCCTTGTATTACATGGAAATATGTGATTTGTAAGAAGGGAGAGGATGGGGGTTTAGCAGTTATCATGAGAAAATTTGGAGACTCTTTAGAAAGAAGAGAGTTTTATAGAGTAGTGAAGGATATCTATCCCTAGGGAAGAAGGGAGTGAGACCTGGTATGTAGGGCTACACTCATTAAAGAAAGCCAGAACGGTGAACACGTACTTATGGGAGCAGCGGTAGAGTTGGAGCGTTTAATCATGATGTCCAAGTTGTGTTTTCCTATAGCTATATTTCTCAGTGCACCCTGCGGGTCAAAACTTGTAAATTCACCAAACTCAGGCAGCCGCCAGACGGTCTCCTGCTTCTCCAGGTTCACGTAGAACTCTTCGTCTCCATCAAATTCATGGGTGTACTGGCCAGAGGGACCGTAAGACTGGTAGACATTTATGCCGTAGGAGGCAACATGGTCAGCTGATGAGTGAGGGTGAGGAGCAGGAAGGTGGAAAATAGAGGGAGAGAAAAGGGCCTTATTAGACAAAATGACAGAAGAAACTGACTTTCAAACATTGTAGGCTTCATCTCAGGCATAGTCTTTAGACAAAATTCTCAGCACCTGTTCCTCCTCTTAATACTGGTAGTTATCCTGTTAGAATCAAGCCTATCTTTCCACTATACCACATGCTCCAAACTGAATTATGTTTACGTATGTTAGGCACAGGCACACTACTACAATAATGTAACATTCAAAATCCAGGGTCCTATTCCTATCCATGAGCCTGGATCATAGCCAGACCGGGGGCCAGGCAGGCCCCACAAATACCTTTATCTTCTACTTATATAAATCCAGTTGGGTAAGTTCTTTTTTACATGCTCTCAAAAGCTCCAATACTTGCACCGACGGCAGTATAAGGACTTATGTCATCCAGTGCTACCTACTGAGAGCAGATTTTTGCAGATCTTATTTACTGCTATTCCCTGCATGCCTAGCTCAGTATCTGGCACATCGTAGGCTTATGATAAATATTGTAATGGGATGAAACAAGGAATGAATAATCATGGTATTAACTTTCTTTCCTAAGGATTCAGTTTACTTCCATCTACTTCCTAAGTTTTATCGCTCACTTAATTCCTTCACTAGTTAATAACACATTTATTATGGTTCCTTTCCCCTCAGGACTGGCTCAGAGTAGAACATGGGATTCCTTCCTCTGTTTTTTTTTTTAAAAAATAAAAAAAGCACATAGATCTTATTATTTTAAAAGAATTTCCTCTATTTAGAGCATAAGAAAGAGTATAAGGACAGCAACAATATTACAAAATACATAAAAAATAAACAATGTTTCTAAGATCTCTGTTTTAGTGATCCTAAGAGGAGAGCATCTGATTCTCTCTGAAATAAAAAATAAAAACTTTACTAGATTTTGGATTTTTGTTATTCTTCACCTTTCTTTATTTTTTTTTTTCTTGAAAGACATTACTAAACCTATCCTTTTTTTTTTTTTTTTTTGACTCAACACTTACATTTGTTGAGGACTCATGGTAAACTATGGCCTTTTCCTTGAATGAATAAGGTATTTATCTGAGGATGCCAAAGCAAATTGGCAGCCATTGCACTATGACTCTGCTCAAGTGAGCCTAACTGGACAATTTTGTGAAGATACATAAAAGCCTTTTCGTCTTTCCTGCCTTCCTCACTTACTGAGTATCAACAAGATTTCAGACACTGCAGAAGATGAGGAGCAAAACACCAATCATGCATGGTCTCTGCCATTAAGGAGTTTATTGAATAATGGGAGAGTCAGGTGAGTAAAGGAGCCATTGTGGTATACTGTGATAAGTTCTGTGAAAGGGAGTATCTGACATCCTCTACATATACCTCATCTGCCAGTCAAACTGAACGTTATCCTTTCATGTTTCTTAGTCTTTACAGGAGTCTGTTTTTCTTCCTGAAATTATCTTTTAGAATTTCCTGGACACATCAAGCTCATTCTTGAAGTTTCTGCTTTTTAGCTAAGTTCTCTCATTAAAAATATTTTGACTGCATTATGACCTCCAATGCCTTCATTCAAATGTCCTGCTCTACAAGTTTATCTATTCCTCATCCCTATCCAGCATGACTCCTTTGGCTGATTACTTAAAAGGCCCTCCAACAAAGCTTCCCTATCCTTGCAATGAATCTTCTTGACTCCTTTTCAAACATGAATATATGCAATTATTCTTTTCATCTGGTACTTGTCCTGGGCTGCCAGTTGTTGCTAAAGAACATCACACTGCTGGGCCAACTGAACCAATTCACTTTTATGGTTTCAGCCTCACTGGGTTCACTATCCTACTCAGCAACGGTCCTTCTGTTTTCCTGCTTCATATTCTTCTTATCGCTAATCTGTGCATCCTCTAGGGGACAGATAACATGTTTTTTCATCTTTGAATCCCCAACACTTAGCTTGCTATGTGCTCAAAAATTTTATATTAAAAGTCAGTTGTTATTCTTGAGGACCACAGAGATTTTTGGGGGAAGACTGATAGACACAAAGGTAGCAGAATCCTATGAAAGTTAGACTCAGCAGTGACCAGGGCTATATTATGACTTGTGAGCCCTAAACACTGTTGCTTAGGTGAGCCTTTTTTTCATAAAAATATTAAAAGTTATATTTTATGACCACGTTGGTATAAAAAATATAATCCAAGCTAAGTTAAAAGTTTCTTCCACTCTATAAGTTCACTTTTTCTTCTAATTTTAAAAGAAATTAAAACATGTGGCCTTACAGACATTGCAGGCCCTTGACCCTGTGCCCACTGTGGTTAATAGATAAGTCAAGCCTGACTAGGGCACTATGGTGTGACATTGAAAAAAGGAAATTTGGATGTGCTCTGGAGAAGCAGGTAAAACTGCTACCAGACAAAGTTATAACAGGAGCAGCCATGGTTAATAAAGTCTCTGAAGATCAGAGTAACTTCCATTCCACTTCCCTTTTGAGCTATTAGGCTTTTCTATTTTGGTTTTTACTAACCCATTCTTCATGTCAATAAAACAACAGGAAAAGAGCCAGGGAATGATCCTGGCAAGAAAGGAGGAAAAATGAATGTAGGAAGAGAAGGTGGAAAGGGGTGGACAACAAAGGTAGAGGGGCCCAGGGGACCTATTTATAACTCTGTGCTTGCTCATTCTTCCTTAGATGAAGTGAAAAACAGGTAATTCGGGCTGACGATTTGAGACTAATATAATTTAATTCGCCAAGTTTTTCATCATAAAGATCTCAAATTTAAAATAAAAATAAAGATATCCCCTACTTTGTTAAAGAAAAAATTATGAAGCCATACCTATAATAGTAATAACTTAAAAATAAGAATGATCATTGACATTTATATTTCTTTATTACTTGGAAGCCACATCTGTATACCTATATTACTTGATTTTTTGTGAGGTGACACATATGAGGTAACTGAAATTAAGTGAGGGCCATGTGGCAAGATGACTTGTCTAAAGGCATGTAGCCAGCTGGGTTCACTTACCCATTCCCTACTTGTGCCAGTTCCTGGCATGAAAATATATGTAAATCTGAGACAAAGAAAAGGACACCCTTCTTTATATCTACATAGTATACATAATTCATGGAACTATTTACCCCAAGATGAACTACAGGAGAAATATATAAAAAGCTCTGGTGGAAATTTGGAAGCAATAGTTTATGAAGTTTTAATAACAAACATCCACTCGTGAAAACATTCCTAATCTTGAGGCAATCATGAATAAATGTCATAGAGCCCTCCAGGTTATATTTACTGGATCTGATATTAGAAACAAAATATTGTCCTTAGTGAAGTGTGCAATAACACAGGTAGCAGGGAAAGTGGGTTGAGACTCTGGTTTCCTGAAGGAAGAACGACCGTAATTTTTGGATCTGCTTAATACTGAGAACACCTTCGAGGAGGCTCTACTATTTCTATGCCGATCTTTATCTTTTTTCTCCCTTCAATTCCCTGTATCCCAAGTCTAGTCCCCCGACCCCTGAACTGTGCACTCACCCACAATGTCTTCACTTCCACAGGGGCTCATCAGGGTGATCAGGGTGAGGGCCCCTAGAATCAGAGCTCTGTTTAGGATCATCCTCTTTTCAAGGTGGTCTCAGCAGCTGCTGTTATGAGTTGTAGAGCAATGGTGAGGACCAAGCTGAGAAGAAAATCTAAAGACACAGAAACCAAACCCAGTCTGATCAGATTCTGGCCAATCAGAAAAATCTCCTATGATGACACCTTAGTTGCCGGTTGAAGATTTTCTACTAAGAGGCCAGGCAGGCATTAGGGAATCCCCTAGTTCCGGTGCAGCCTCCACTCAGAGTGACCTGAGTGAGTTTTCTATGAAAGGAGGAGGGGTATTAAATTAGAATCTCATCACATGTGTGTAAGCCTGCTGGTGGCAAGAGGGCTGGGAATTTCTGAGAAGCCACATGGATAGATAAGGTCATCCCTAATACGGTGTCCTTCAGGATTTTCTGGGTTACATCCTCCAAGAATTTTCCCCTGAACTGAACACCTTCCTGGCAGTTTCTACCCGCCCCCACACCTACTTTACCTTGGGTTAACTGTGTTCCTTTTTGCTTTCATAGTGCACATAGAATTCTCTAACCTTTTTTTTTTTCTTTAGTTTTAAAGCCAGTATCTTATTTAATAGAGGAACACCTGTCATTGCTACAAAGACCTGGAATAAAGCAAGAACGCTCTTTTAACTGTTTTTGTTTGATTATATAAAGACTATTATTTTTTATTTTTTCTCTTTAACTATTTTCCCCCCAGCTTTAATGAAATATAATAGACAATTCGTTGCTCATATTTCCATTGTGTAATTCAATGAGGTTTTTTTTCTTTCAATTATAGTTGGCATACAATAATATATTAGTTTCAATTGTCCAGCATAGTGATTAGAGCTCAAGTGATCACCACACTAAATCTAATACCCCTCTTCCCCCTTACGTATTTATTACAACATTGTTAACTATTTTTCTTATACTACACTTTCTATCTCAATGACTCTTTTGTAACTGTCCATTTGTATTTATTAATCCCGTACCACTTTTTCATCATCCCTCCAAACTTCTTCTGTCTAGTAGCCCTCAAAATATTATCTGTACCTATGAGATTGTTTTCATTTTTGTTGTTGTTGTTATTTTGTTCTTTCATTTTTGTTATTGTTATTTTGTTTTTTAGATTCCACATGTATGTGAAATCATGTGATATTTTCCTTTGTTTCTCTGACTTACTTCATTCAGAATAATACTCTCTAGGTCCATCAAGGCAATATCTTTTGCCTTCCCCTTCCTTTTAGTCTGTGTGTGTCTTTTAATCTGAAGCGAGTCTCTTGTAGGCAGCATGTGTAGGGGTCTTGTTTTCTTATCCATTCAGCTACCCTATCTTTTGGTTGGAGCACTTAATTCTTTTCCACTTGAGGTACTTGTTGATAGGAATGTAGTTATTACCATCTTTACTCCTGTTTTTGATACATGTTTTTTCTTCTCAAAGAAGTCCCTCCAACAATTCCTGTAATACTGGCTTGGTGACGATAAATTCCTTGAGCTTATTTTTATCTGGGAGGCTCTTCATCTATCTTTCGACTCTAAGTGATAGCTTTGCTGGATAAAGTATTCTTGGTTGTAGATCCTGGGTTTTCATCACATCGAGTATTTTGTGCCAAACCCTTCTGTCCTGCATGGTTTCTTTTGAGAAATCAGCTGCCAGTCTTATGGGTGCTCCCTTGTAGGTAACTAACTGCTTTTGTCTTGCTGCTTTTAAGATTTTC